AAATAAATAAATAAATACATAAATAAATAAATAAATAAATAAATAAAGGTATAATTGTTTTCTTTCTTTCTTTTTTTCCCCATCACCATTTACCCCCTCTATACCTTCTTCCACCTCCACCCACCCCCAGGTCTAATTCTGATTCATTTACACCAGATGGCTATTATTGTGTTGAGTGTTATCATTTTCTATTTGACAATCTAAGAGAAAAGAGGCCAATGCCCCTGACTAAATAGTCAAATATTACATGTTCTAGAATTCTTGCAGCACACCAGTTGAAAATCACTGGTTTAGGGCATAGCTCTCAATCTTGGCTACACTTTAGTATGTATCACTTGGAGGAACTTTATATTGATATGGTGCTGTCCTGGAGGTTTTATTCCTCTTTTCTAAATAGTTATTTTTCCTATTTTTTTTCCTATAGTGAATGAAAGCTTCACATTATAAATCTGAAAACAAAAAGGGTCTCCTTTCACTTATTTATTGTAGCTAGTTAAAATATAAACTCCAAGAGCAGACACCAAGTGAATTTGCTTAATACTATTATCCTAAGATATGATACAGAGCTTAATGTTTGTTTTGAATGAATATCCACCAGTAGTGGCACACATACATGTGCCAGGTGCTAATTTATATCATTCAATTTACTATTTATAGACAGCCCTATATTCTATCAACCCAATTTTAGATACAAGGGAACATAATTTCTGAGATTTTAGTAATCTGTTAGTCAGTCAATATAACCAAAGCTCTACATTATGTCATTCTCGGAAAACATCCTTATTTTGTAACCCTTTTGAAATCCTGGCAAAACATTTCTACAACTAGAGGTTGAGAACGTCACTTTTTGATTCCTCCTCCAACAGGATCACATTAAAATCAGAATCACTACAGACTATGGGCTCAAAATTCTCCCCCTTTATTGGTTGAGATGTGTTAATCTATTGGTAGAAATATGGGTCTTTTGCTCATTTACAAACTTGAATTTGCTCATTAGAAAGAAATAAAAGTGGTCTTCTTAAACTGTTAACCATGCAAATTTATGTACTTTTTCAAATGTTACCTATTGCAATATAATATTCTATCTGTATTAGGAATAATCCAGCTTTGCGCCATTGTATTTGTGACAGCAGGACTGGATTTAAAATTCTATTCTTTTAGAAAGCAAGCAGAAATAGAACCATACTTTTTTCTCATAAGAATTATAATACTTTGCTATCTTCTTTGTATAAACTTTGTAAGGAAATATCCTTTCATTCAAAAAATATTTAACTGGCATGTCACAGAACTTTCATTTTAGTGGGAGAAAACCAGTAAACAACATATGTACCATTATGTAGCAAACTGTATAAGAAAAATAGAGCAGGGTAAAGGAGATAGGGTGGTCAAGTACCATTTTTATAGAGTTCTCAGAGGAAATACCTGATCAGGATTGGTTTGAGGGGGAAAATTAAGAGTTTGGTTTTGGTATATTGTGTGATGCCAGTGTTTAGGATAAAGGTTTGGGTTGGAGATTCAGATGGGGATTTCATTTAGCCAAAAATCTGGATGAGACTGCCTAGGGAGAGAGAACAGAGAGAAGTGGTCCAAATTGTGAGATTTGAATCCTGGGCACTCCAGCATTTAGAGGCTGGAAAAGGAGGAGGAACCAATAAGGAGACTTAAGAAATAGAAAGGAAGAGAAGCAAGAGGAAAGGCTGCTGCTAATCTTGTGCAGTTTCAATGGAGTGTGTGTTTAAGAGAACAGAAGTGAAGATGAAGTTTTTCTGTAAAGGGGAGCAGATCATACAGGTCAAAAAATTTTTTAAGATGGCAACTATTAAAACATGTTTATAAGTTGACAGAAGTGATCCCGTTCATAGAGAAAAAAATTCATAAGAAAAGAAGACAATCCCAACAGTAAAATGGAACTTAGTGCAAAAGTTTGGTCTTAGTAAATTGGACAGTTTATCCAGTTACTGTAGCATAGCTGTATATTCAGATGTAGGAAGGTTGGTAGGTGCCACAGTGTGAGGAGGCAGGACTGTTACCGATTTCTGATTTCTTCTATTTTCTAGAAGCAAAATAATGACTTGTGATTGAGGAGAGGGCATATATCGTCAGGAAGAAAGATGTTAAACAGATGCTTAAGAGGACAGGGTAAATGGATTAGGGAAATTAAGTCTGAGGAGGGGCAAACACAAGGAGCTCACTTCAAAGTTAGCATGACTGTGTGTTTTTCTCCAGTCAACTTTAACTGCTCTGAAGCAAACATACAATGAATTAACCAGGGTTGTGGTTTAGGCAGGTAAAATGGAGGAAGAGAAAGGGAAAGAATTAAAGGTATTTGCAAAGGAGGATTTAAAACAATGGATAATGGAATCTAAGGTAGGCAATGAGATGAACATTTAAAAATGGGTGTAACACTTGAATGTGTACTTCAGTAAATAGTCGATTCTCATTATTTGAGGCAATGTTCTGTAAAGTCACAATAAATACTGAACTGGTTCTGGGGAAATACAAGACTAGGTACCTCACTCTGGACACATTTTTGTCAACCAATCAGTACATAATCTTGTTTTATGTGTTTCTGTTTAGACACCTTATGTAACATTTATTGTTGATTTATTAACACTGATCTCATGGTCAAGAGCACTAATGATAAACCTGAATGAGTTTATCTAGGACATGTGTTTTCTCCACAAAGCACAGCACACATAGCCTTCCTGTGCCTAGGAATGAATACCATATAGCACTTTACAACTATGCTGGGGTGTGTGTGTGTCTGTGTGTGGTGGGGGTGGCATTTAAAACAGCAAAAATCACCAATAAAAAGCACAAAAAATGTGAAAAACATGGCACTGTATATATTGTGAAAAGCACATTTGTTTTCAGTATGAGAGTTGAAACAATAAGGCTGAATGTAGCCTTGTGCAACCTCATTTGAAAATGTGTCAGGCAAGTGAAATATTTTGCCACTCTGCACATGTTCATGAATGCTGCACATACTGATTTTGGGTTTCCAAATAAATTTCGGTGAGTAGTCCAATTCAAAAACAGAATCTGTGAATAATGAAGAATGTACATTGCCTGGAACTTTTTCCTCCATAGCTCAGCCCAGTTTTGCTGCTTTTGATCAAATGGTATATTTCAATGTCAGCAGATTATCAAACAAGAAACACATTTTGCTGTCAGTTTTCAAAAAGTTTCTGCATAAGGTTTATATATTACTTTTTGTACCCCTCTAATCTGATGTCTCCCATCTTCAATGTATTTGTTACTAGTGTCAGAAATTACACATAAGACTCTAGGTTTTTCTCATTTCAGTCATTGGCAGTTCTTTCTTTAGTTCTTGACAGCTTAAGTGGGCATTAAGTAGGCTTTTACTAATCCTTACAACAGCAATTATCTTAACATTTGGCTGGTTGATGTCACATATAAAGTTATAGAATTATTTTATTCAATCCATTGTGATTTCAGAGTCTTTTCCCCATATCGTTCTATCTCTTCATTAGGTCCTGCAATAACGTAACTTGTTGGATACCAAATAAATCAGTTACTTTTTCATTCTGTTTTTTTGGCGGGATCTTTTGACCTGTTTACTATTTTGCTTTTTTCTTCTATGAAATAACTGTATATTTTCACTTCATGTGTTATTATAATCCTTTATTACTGTTGCAAAGCGTTTAAGAGCAGAAAAAAAAAATCACCTAAATTACCATCACCCTCAAATAGAACTTAATTTTTTGGTATACTTGACTTTGATATACGTGACTATATGCCAGTGTTGCTACTGTGCCTGTAGCAGTCTGTAAAATTCAATTCGTAGCAAATTCATTTAACCCAACCCAGACTTCAATTCACACTCCCAATCGCCAAATGAACTAGGAGAAAATGGAAAATAAAGCAGAGGGTGGGTTGGGCACGGCTGGGGGTGGAAAATCTTACACAAGGTTTAGCGAATTCAACACTTTTCAAGTCACCCATTCCCTAAAGCTCCAGGTTCATCGACGTGTTAATTCAGTGCCCCAGCGGTGCTTCCTTCCTGCTCAGTCTCGGAACCTCCACCTTGCATTGCTCAGGCTCATGACCTTGTCGTCTTCCGCACATTATTCCTAAATCCTTCATATTTGTCCCTCCTCGCTTTGAAAGCTCGCTTCTGGGTACGTGACTTACTTCTAACAAGCCGCACGCCAGCTCCAAGCAGTCCCTGCCCGTCACAAGCCGGTGGCGCGTTAAGCACCCGGTTTGAGGATGGTGCCAAGGCCCGGTTCCCGCTCCAGGCAAAGGGCCCCCAGGGAGCAGTCGCGCTCTCCCCACCTCCCACTGAGTAGCTTCGGTCGCTGCTCACTGAAGAAGCTCCAGGGTAACCGTCCGCCCGTCGCCTACAGAGGGGTTTGCGACCACCCCGCCCCAGTAGGGAGAGGCGGGGGCCGGCGGCCGGACCGCTCCCCCAGGGCGCCCTCCTCCTCCTCCTCCGCCCCCATCTCGGCGCACGCGCAGTAGCCCCAGCCTGCCTTACTTAGTCCGAGATGGCTTCTCTCGCTCCCCACCGTCCTCCTCCCGAAGACGGCTCCCTCCCCACGCACCCCGGGGTCCCTGGGACCAGCCTCCAGCGGGTCCCCAGGCAGGACTCTCCTTAAACTGGAACGTGCCCGGACGTGATCGTGAAGAGAAGCAGCGGCAACCGGAAAGAACTGACGGCTCTCGAGGCGGCGAGCCAGGCCTCAAAGGAACAGGAAAACCGGAGCGAGCCGAGGTTTGCCGAAGGCGGCCTTCCGGAACTGCGCGGGGAAGGGAGGAGGGCTGAGGGTAGCAGAGGAGGGGCGCGGCGGAAACTGCCGAGGTTTGCCGAAGGCGGCCTTCCGGAACTGCGCGGGGAAGGGAGGAGGGCTGAGGGTAGCAGAGGAGGGGCGCGGCGGAAACTGCCGAGGTTTGCCGAAGGCTGCAGCCTCTGAGTTGCCCGGATGTAGTTGGTGGAGCGGCAGCGGCGGCACCGGCGGCGGCTGCAGGGGGAGGAGGAGAAGGGCCAGGCGGCGGCAGGGGAGAGGAGGGCAGGAGGCGGCGGAGCAGGAGGAGAAGGCGGAGGAGGCACTCGCTCTCCGTGGGGCAGAGCAGGACCGTCTTACTGCCCCCCTCCCCCCGGTTGGTCGCTTCCGCCGTGTAGGTGGCGCCTCTGCTCGGGCTGAGAGTGAGCGTGGTGTTGTCGGAGGGAGATGGCCCGGGAGCGCCGACGCCAGTAACGGGGAGGTGCTGAGAGTCGCCGAGGGCACGCCGGGCCCTGGTGCCGGTGCTGCCGCCCGCCCGCTCGCCCCTCGCGGCTGCTCTTCCCCCTCCCCCGACACACACACACAGGTCGTGCATTGATGGTAATGTATGCGAGGAAACAGCAGAGACTCAGTGATGGGTAAATTGGCTTTTCGTTCAGGGCTGGGCCGCGGCGGGGGCGGGGGTGGCGGCGGCGCGGGGCGGGGGGGGCTGTTCCTCCTTATCTGCTTCTGGCTGAGCCGCCATTTTTGTTGTTAACCCTGATCCGGCTCGGGCTGGGGAGGAGGAGCGGCCGCGCGAGCAGGCGAGGCCGGAGTGAGTGTGGAGGGAGCGCAGGGCCGGTTCGCGGCGTTTCGCCCTCGTCACCGCCTTTAAAAGGGGGAGTGTGTGCGTGCGTGTGCGTGTGTGTGTGTGTGTGTGTGTGTGTGGGCTCACCGCCGATTCCTTTGGTAGGTCTCCCGCGGGGAGGGGCGCTGGGGGGGACCTATTTTCTTCCTTCCCCTCGAGATGTTTCATGTCGCCGATTCTCTTCCTGTTTTTCAGCTGTCACGACCGGAGGGGGGACTCGCAGCCTTACCAGGTACCAGCCGAGGCCGGGGAGGAGGGGTAGATGCGGGGACGAAGGGGGAAGGGAGGACCTGGTACTCGAGCGCAGGCTTCAGAAGTCGCTACAGGCCCTTCGGTGCAACAAATCCGAAACTAGCTCCTCTGGTCCCATTAAAATACTGTGTTTGGGTTCATTAGCGCTCCCCAGCAAGGTTCAGTGACCTATTTTGACAGGTGAGTGGAGGAAATTCAGTTTTTTAAGGAAAAAAATTATTCTCAGGAATGACCTGACTCGAATATTTGGATGTGAAAGAATCGATGGGTTGAGGTGTTAGGTGTCTTTTGAACCACTTGTTAATGTTAAGGTATTAAAATTAGATGAAAGGCCTGGGAAGAAACAACTAATTGTTTTGCAACTCCTAAGTGTGATGTAAACCACTGGTTCCTTCCCAATTTAATTGTTTTGGGGGCAACTAGTTGCCTTACTAGTGAAAGATAGTGCTTTGGGTTCTGTAGGAATTGAGATCTTTGGATACTTGGATAACTCATTTTGATGTCCATGGTTCTAGGTATGTAGATTCCTTTTGGTTATTGCAGTTGCTGCGTGTAAATTTTTTTTAAAAAATTACACAGATGGCACCTGTATTCAAAGAGAAAACATCTCATAAATGATTGTTAACTATCAGAGAACGAGCAGGTTTCTAAGATGATAGTTCTGTTAACTGGCTGGCACAAGTTAAAGCTCAAGTTAAAAACCCTAAGTCCCCTGATGTGTAAACCATTGTCCATTACATTTGGATATCAAAGATGAAACCCTACTGAATCAGCTTCTCTAAAACATAATTAATTTCACCTTGTAAAAGACTGGTCTATCATGGCTGTCTTAAATATGCATTAGGATAAAATTAAACCATTATTTTGAAGGAGTTCCATTAAGTTTCATTATGTTAGAAATGTCAGCCAACATTTTTTTTATACCTTGAAATTGTTTCCCACACCTGTCAGAATAGGTAAGGTAGGATTGAAATGCCTTTCTTAGAGAATTGGAGAAACTGATGCTTTCTTTCTTGTAGCATTGCAGAAACATGCCTAAGCTCATACTTGTGTCTTTGCATCAGTTGTCGAACAGAAATAGATTATAGTAGTACTTGGTTTCTACTTTTCTTTGATTAACTTTTTAATTCCCAGAAAAAGTTATTGGGGAATTAGTGCATCGAGGTGTTTGATTTCATTCATTTACAACATACTTTGTGGACTGTAGTTTTTTTTTTAACATAAGGTATGATTTGTATGAGGAGCTTTATAATAACTCTTAGACATTTATTTAGGCCTTGTCTGAATAACGTAAGGGCATAATTGAAAATGGAAATTTTAATTTTATTGATATAAATTCATAAAACTTAAGTTGAAACACCAGATTTTACACTAAAATGAATTTAGGAAGCTATGTTTAAAGTTTCAATTTTTGGTCTCTTTTTTTGGGGGGTGATGTTTTACAGGCACTTAAGTATTCATCGAAGAGTCACCCCAGTAGCGGTGATCACAGACATGAGAAAATGCGAGACGCCGCAGATCCTTCACCACCAAATAAAATGTTGCGGAGATCTGATAGTCCTGAAAACAAATATAGTGACAGCACAGGTCACAGTAAGGCCAAAAATGTGCATATTCACAGAATTAGAGAGAGGGATGGTGGTAAGTAGCTTTTTTATTGAAACTTTCACATACATTTATTTTTAACAGTTGCTATATGTAAAATAATAGGTGGCGATAATATTTCTAGTTTGGCATACATATGGTTATGTCATGAAAATTTTTTATTTCTGTTAATGTATTTGATTCCTGAACAAGTTACTATAGAAATAAGATGCTGACCGTAGCATCTAAAAATGGACTCCAGCGGCTGAAAATAAGTGAATGCATTTATGAATATAGTCTACCTGATGATTTTATTAATGGTGAGGGAAATTCAGGACATTTTCCCAAGAAAGGAATTTTCACCTTTTTAACTAAAGATTTCATATTATTTGACTTAATTTTGAGATCCTTGTTGCTGCTTGAATCTATTTTTTAAGGACTTCAAATATGTTTCATAAAGATACATTAAGAATTTAAAACAGGTGTTTGGAGACCCTTCGCAGGTTAAAAAACCATTTGTGATTCTGAGAATAACTTGGGTTTTTGTTGTAAACATTTAAGATATTTTTTCTGGATCATATTAGTGTATTTTCTATCCTGTGTTCATTCATATATTCATCTTTTTAAAAGTTAGTCTCACTTTTTGGATAATGCTAGGATCCTTCAGTTATTACCTTGCCTACAGCTCTTTCTAGTAGGTTGAGAAAAAGTAAACACAGTAACTATTTTCAGTCTTGATTTCCCCAAATTTACCAAAATACAAATTTCATGTCTAAAGCATGTATTGAGGAACAAACCAATTTCACTAGGATAAGGCATTTATATTTTTGTCCACTATAAGATCTTATATCACCTGATAGATAATGTTTGAGATAAATATACAATATTGATTGTGCTTTTAAAAGCTCCTACGGAAACTCAGAGTATCATGTGGCTTCTCCTCTGATTGTCAACTAACTTCGCATACTTGGCTTACTTTTAAAAAAAGATTCTATGTCTTCAGGTTCTGATCTCCTAGGATAGGAATCAGTTTTATTCAGTGTGATCAAATATTGAGAAACATTTGCCTTCTCTGTACATAATTACTGGGTTGAGGAAATTAATAGATTTTATTGATATGGAATAGGAAGTATAGTTCTCTGTTGAATATAGCTGTAGCTTTGTGCTACTTATGCAGATATACCATATTGTTTTTTGCAAGTAACAAAAGGTGGGTTTCATTATTAAAGTATTACAAGTTCTTTTGCAAAATTACTTAAACTATTAATATTTTCTACTTGGGTAAATTTTTTATAGTGTTCTGTGTAGTCTGAGATACTATTATCAATCTTCTATAGCGGTTTCCATTTCAAACTTTAGGTCTTGGACAGCGTGTACTATATGTACTATACTGTGCTTTATGTTTAAAATTTGGTGAATGTGACAAAATAGGATGTGATACCTCCTGTCCATTTGGATAAGTATCTTAGGTTCTCTTTTAGTGATTTTAATCTGTCATCTATCCTCAAATTCAGGAAGAAGTGTTTAGGTGCTCTAGAGAACTTGATGTACATTTATAGTGGATCAAGGTTGCTAAATTCTTTAACAGGTGAAATAATCTTAAAAACATTCTGTTGCTTATTTAGTCAACAACCATTGGGCATCCACTGTGCCAACAATGGTGTGATATTCCTGGAAGTAAAGATAAAATGTGATCCTGTCCTTGAGGTTACTCTTAAAGGCTTTGACTCTTGAGAGTGGTGTAGCTGCTTACTTTTTCCTTATTTCTGTTTTCTTTTGATTTTAATTTTACTCCCTATATGAACTCCACATACCTCTTGTTAGATTCTAGTTTCCTTTTTATTTGCATCTGCTTGCTGATGTTTTCTTAGCTCCATTTGTAAGAAATTTTTCTTATTTTTCTGATTTAGTCATTTGCTGAGTTAGGCCTCATCTTCTAACTTACTTTTTAGCAGCTTATCTGTCTTCCTGTGGAACCTGTTAACTAATACTGTAACTCTATCACTATTTGTATAATCTCTAATATACCTGGCTGCCATATTCTTTATATTTTGTAGGAATAATGAATACCATAAAATAAGAGATCTTGATTCTGGAGTTCAGAGTGCATCTTTGATCTTAAGTTGGTCTTTTAAAGACGTAAACTGGTGATTCTCCCCTCATATATTAGATATTTAGTCATTATACTTTGACTCCAGGTGTTTTCTTTTATTGCTAATATGTGTTTGAAACTAAGCTTCTAAAAGTGCATATGTATAATTTTATTACAGGCATTTGTATGTCCTTAGGTTTTTATCTTTAAACATGAATTCAAATATATATAAAGTCAAAGCCATTTTCCAAAGTCAAATGCAAGTGAGTTAGGTTATCTGTACTCTTAGCCTGTATAAGTAACGATGTAAGAACAGGTTACTATTTTGCTTATTGAACTAATTTTAGATTTGTTACTTTTTATTTTACGAATGTAAAAAATATAATGATTTTATTAAAGGTCTAATAATTTAAGAGCCTGTGTGCTTCAATTTGTAACTTGCATTTTACAAAGCATGTCAAACAAGTGTAGAATTTGTAAGATGTATTTGTTTTTCAGTAGCTAATTCGATTTCTTTCACAGCATCTTGGATTTCCTTGGAAAGTGACAGTTTAGAAATAATACACAGAAAGGACTTTAAAGTATACAATAGAAAGTTAGAAAGCAGGGATTGAGAAGGATTGTTACTCCTGAAATCTTTAGTTAAAACATTGCAACATAGTATACACAGATAAAAGATTTAGAGATTTTTATCCCTTAGGATTTATTAAAGGGAATGTAGATTATCTGTTGTAAATAAGTTTTTATGTATTGTGGGATCTGTCTGCAAATCATATAATCTTTGTTTAAGAATAACCGAAAGCAGGAGTCCTAAGGTATAATTATTAGATTTGTTTTTTGTAGCTGAGACATATTTTTAAAGGTGCAGGTGACATCCAAACCTCAGAAGAGGGAACATACAATACAGGTTGAATTTGTACTTTTATTGAATTATTAAACTTTTTCCATTTGGTTTAAATGTGTGTTTGGGTTTTTGTTTGTTTATTTTTTGAGGGCTAGGTCTAATGATTATTTTACCAAATAACTGTAAGAATTGTGATAATACTATAGATGACTTTAGGAATTAAGAGTATGTTTACAGGGATTCTATAAAGCTGTTCCACAAAACTTCCACCTCTTAAGACTCATTCTATTTTTCTCATCTTTCCTCTAGAATTAACTGTAAGAAACTTATAAAACATATTTGGAATACTTATTAGAAACATCTTTTTAAGAAAGATAACTAAGTTCAATCGATAAATTGAAAAATATTCTTTGTTCTTCAGTTTATGGGACTTCAGTGGATTTGCAGAGTTCTTTAGTTAGCATTCATATATCTTTTGAGTACAACAAAAAATTGCTTTGTTGGTGGTTTGGTAACCATTGTTTCTAAATATTCTAAACTTTTTACGTGCACAGTGAAAATTTTTATCTTGTTTTGTCATTTAGCTATATTTGGAAATATATTTTTATCTAATTTTTAAACAAAGATAACGATAACTGACATTTAAGGAATTGTTAGTGGAACCATTTGGGAATAATTGGTGTTTTTGTAGCTTTTAAAGTATAATTCAGTAATGTTTGGCTCTTTTCATGTTGGATAATAGACTAGTACTTATACCACATGGCCTTATGGTTATTCTAATAAATAGGTTTTTAATAAAATAAAATACACTTTGCATTGTAATGTTAGATAGTACTCTGAAAATAAAGTCTCATTTGATCCTTATTTTGGTCTTGGAAGACAGACAGATCAGATACTATCTCTGTTCTGCGGATTTACAAATGAGGGAAAATTTACTTCTATAAAATTGAACAGATAGTGACAGCCAGGTCTAGAAATTAGTCCCTTCTGGTAAATTATATATGTTGTCAGAGATGAAACATTAGGTATATTGAAAGCTTATTTGGTTGGTATTTACTACAGCAGAAATTAGTTTAAAGGTGATTTTACTTGTAGTCTCAGTGTTTTCACCCAACTTCCTTCAGTGGGTACCTCTTACCTAAATATAGTACAGTATTAGAGCCAGGGCATTGACATTAATACAGTGTATATGTGTTATTGAAGACAGTTATCATGTCAAAATTTTACTTTTAAAGTAAGTTTTAATGTGAAAGCTTGCCAATGTGAGAAGCCATTTTTCTCAAGACTTGTTTTCAAATCAACTTGGAAATTTTATACAGAATCTAAAATTTGGATGTCAATATCATTAACTAATGTTAAGTATTTTTCTATCTAGTGAAGATCAGAGATAAATATTATATATTTTTATTGATGGATGCTTTATAGAACGATAGTAAACTAAGCAGATAAGTTTGTAGTGATTTCCATAGATTAGTTAAAAAAGATCACAGTTACTCCATTTCAAGAGAAACAATAAGATTTTCGCTTTTCAGTATTTTTTAATTTAAAAAATGCTCTAAATATTTGTGCACGTATTTGAACACATATTTCATTTGTCTTAGTCATCGCATTTTTAACATTTTTTGTTTTTAAAGATATGGTTATGTATTGTTTATGATGTGATGGTATTTCTAGTTCAAAATCAAAAAATATTTTGAAATAGTTTACTTTGATCTTTTAAGGCAGTCTTAATTGAACTGTTTTTTAGTTGTGCAAGATGTATTTAAAGCTCTTGGTGTAATAGTACTTAGGATTTTTGGTCCATAATTTACAGAAAATTTATATATTCTAGATTGTCTCTCTGTTAAACATCTGTTTATTGTCTTAGTCTGTTGCACAGATTGGTTTTGGTGTGTCTACTGTATCATTTTGTTAGGATACTGGAAAAAGTGAAGATAACAATGAACTGGGGCATGTTTTTCCCCCCTGTACCTGAGGATATAATTTTATTAATTTTAGAGACAGACAGACACGGACATCGATGTGAGAGAGAAGCAGTCCTTTGCCTTCTGTACGCATCCTTACTGCCCTGACCAGGGATCAAACCTGCAACTTTTTGGTGTACGGGTCGGTGTTTCAACCAACTTAGCCACTCTGCCAGGGCTTTACAGGGATTCTGTAACTGAGACCACAGCTGTAATTGGGTTCTGGTTTTGGGACTTTATTCTAAGAACTGGAGATAATATTTTTAAAAATTTTTTGTTAATCCTCACCTGAGGATATTTTTTTTATTTATCTTCAGATAGAGTGGAGAGGAGAGAGGAGGGAGGGAGGGAGGGAGGGAGGGAGGGGGAGAGAGAGAGAGAGACATCTATTGGTTGCCACCCACATGACCCCAGCCGGGGTCTGGGATCAAACCTGCAACCCAGGTACGTGCCCTTTACTGGAATCCCACTTGAGACCCTTTAGTCTGAGGGCCGATGCTCCAACCACTGAGCAAAACTGGCCAGGACAATACTGGAGATAATATTTGTCAATTATTTCCAAAGCAATAATTGGGGGTTTTTAAAAATATTCTATGAAGAGTCAATTTTTTATGATTTATATGATATTAATTTTCAAAGCCCTTTTACATTGTTTCTTATCTGATTCTGTTGAAATAGGTTAAACAGATTATTCCTTAAAGTATAAGCCAGTGAAAGTATTCAACCTGTTGTTGAGACTGGAAAGCAAGTCTTTGCTATACTTAAAACCTTATCTCCACCTTCAAATTATACTCCAAGTATAACCACTTGTCAGTACTTAAAATACAACCATTGTAGTCTTGGCTACCACCTTTTCTTACCAGTACACTGCAAGAATTTCCTGAATGGTGTCCCTGCATCCTTTCTGTTTCACACAATTATTTCTCCATGCAGTAGCTAGAGTGGTCCAGTTAAAATACCTGTTGCTTCACATCACTCTCATACTTGGAACCCTCCAGTGACTTACTCACCAAGACCTGTAAAAGACCCTGTATAACCTGGTATTTGGGTGTCTCTTCAGCCTCTTCCCCAACTACTCTTCCCTTTGTTTGTGCTGCTCTGTCCGTACTCGCTCTACAGGAAGAAGTTTGTTCTTGACTCAGGTTCTTGGATGATGTTCTTTCTGTATGTCCTCTGGTGCACTCTCTCACTTTAATGTGTTTGCTTAAATGTCACCCTCTCACAGAGTCCTTCCCTACCCTTCCTGGTCACTCTGAAACATCATTGTGTGTCCTTTCCACTGCTTTGTTCTTTCCTTGTGCTTAACATGTTATTTACTTGTAGTCATTCTGCTATAACATGACATAATGTGTTCCTTAAATTTACCATGCTATGCAAATTGCACAACAGGATTTATGGGAAAATGTTTTTAACGGGACCAATATTCAAAAATGTCAGCAATGCATTCAGAAAACATACTAAACCTAACAAAAAAATCATAGCAAAACGTATTAACCAGTTAATGAGTACATGAACAATATAATGCATATGACACTTTACCTTGACAAAAATCTGAAATATGCTTATGGAAGTGGACATTTGTTGGAAGGGTTTGCAGCTTGTAAGTTATTAATGAAGTGATGAAAGGAGGATTATCTGAAATCACCCTCTAAAAGTTGTAACACCATTTGTGAATGGATATTACGAGTCATACAGTGAATTGAGGTGTAGGTAGCAGGTGTTTGAGGGGTGTGTGTGTGTGCGCGTGTGTGCACACGCGCTTTATGAATTCCTTTGTAACTTGGTTTAACTAGGTGCATCTAGTGTTTATCATAGGTGAAATCACTCATAAGTGGGAAATTTGTGTTGTGCTCAAAACAATTTCCTGATATATCAGTAGTACTCAAACAAATTTGTGTTTTTAAAACAATGTTATAGCAGAACTGACTTTTAGTTAATGTTTGCTTATCTTCTGTGGAATATAAGCTGCACAAGAACAGGGTAGTGCTTTTGTTTTGTTAACGATTTTATCCCTATGTATCACTGTTGCCTAGAATAGTGTCTGACAGTTTGTAATATTTCAATTTATGGGTGGACAAAAGAATATTGGGATTGTCATGATTTAAGGGAATTGATTGTAGTTTTCTTGAACACCGATTCTCAGATTTGAATGTTTATATTATCACCTGGGGATCTTGCTAAAATGCGTATTCTAGTTCAGCAATTCTGGGCTAGGGCCCAAAGTTCTGCCTCTTTTTAATAAGATCCCAGATGGTGCCCATGTTGCTGGCTGCACACGAGTAACAAGGTTCTAGAGCCAGCATTGTCCAATGGAAAGTATAATGTGAGCCACAAATGCAAATCAGGCATGGTTTTCTAGTAGCCATAAAAAAGTGAAGTGAAATTAATTTGAGTATATTTTATATAACCTAATATGTCTAAAATATTATTTCAATAGGTACTTGATATTAATAAAATGTTTCTCTACAATCTATTTTACACACATAGCATATTTTAGTTAGTACTAGCCACAACTCGTGCCTACTTGCCATGTGTGTGGACAGTGGCTACTGAATTGGACAGCACAGTTCTGGAGAATGTGATCACCCTGTTGTTTTGTCTAGCTTTACACATATTCTATTTCTCTAAAGAAAAATGTTATATGCCTTAGTTTTGAAATATGTTTGTGCAAGGCAATGTTGAAATCAATAGGTTTTTGAACTACAGACATACTTTGGACATTTTGCTGTTAGATGGCCTTGTCTTTGATTTGTTTTAAAAAATGCAACATCTGGAAAGTACAATGCAATGAGGTAAGAGTGTGCATAATGCTGCTTGTAAAGTGTTTCTTTATTAGTACACATTTATTAGAAAAATTAGAAAATGGTAGAAAGGGGGCAAATAAAATTGCCTCATCCTATCATTTTGAGTTTAAATCAGTAGTTTCCATAGGACACATTCCATAAAATATTTGAAGGATTTTATAAATAGCCTTTCAAGGATTTTTATTAAAATGCTGTGTTATGCCTGTTTTTTTTTTTTTGGCTTGCATTTAATATCTGCCTAGTCTACTCAACAAACACTTATTGTTAATATCAGTCTGAGAGGACCAACTAGGCGTACTGTTTAGTTAGTGTATAGAGAATATTTATACTTGTCTTACCTCTTATGCTTAACTAATGACTAAAATCTTCTTTCAGTTAGATTTTTTTAAAATCCAGGGTCTGGTACTTGTGACTAAGTAACCTAGACATCCTACTTTATCTGAGTTTATGTGTCCACTCCCTCAGATTGTGTTGGAGTTAAATGAAATTATGTACATAAAATAGTGAAAGCATTTAGCTAAGTGCCTATACTATGACACAGTATATTGTTAGGTTTACTCTTACTCCTTTGACTAATGAAGAGTTGGTGTCAGCAATTTTAGGTCTCAAGCCCTTGCTTCCTTCTTTCTTTAGAGTTGGAAGAAAAAATACTGGCAGTCTGGCAAGAGCTGTTCTAACTTGGTACCTGTTCTTACACAGGACCTGTTATAGCTACAAGTGCCCTGACTCCATCTTCATCTGTATTACCTTGAATCAGAGCAGTAAGGGATAGAACCTAGAAAACCAAACTTACATACTGAATTGAAATATTTATAAACTGCCCGGCCAGGGTGACTCTCTGGTGAGCATTGACCCATGCACTCTAAGAGGTCACTGGTTCGATTCCCAGTCAGGGCATATGCCCTGGTTGTGGGCCATATCTACAGTGGGGAACATACAGAAGGCAGCCAGTCAATGTTCTCTCTCATTGATGTTTCTATCTCTCTCACCCTTTCCCTTCTTCTCTCTCTAAAATCAGTAAAGAAACAAAAATTTATAAACTTCAGGTCTAAAGAGAATGCACACAGGAGGAGTTCTGAACTGGACATTAAGGAATGTGAATTTTATCATTAGGAATCTAAAAGTTAGAGTGAGGTATGTGTGTGTGTATGAAATTTGCCAAATCATAAATTTGTGTTTTCTTGAGAGTTTTAAGGAATTTTCTTATGTCACCTTTTTTCTTTTATTTTTAAAAAATTTTTTATTTATTAATTTGTTATTGTTACAGATGTTTCTCATTTTTCTCCCGTTGACACCCTCCTCCCCTTCCCCAAACCCCATCCCCAGCTTTGTTGTCTATGTTCATTGGTCATGCATACATGCATGTAAGTTCTGTGGTTTATCTCTTCCCCCTCAAACCCTCCTACACTGAGGCTTGTCATCTGTACCCCACTTCTATGTCTCTGGGTTAATTTTGTTCAGTTTGTTTAGTGCATTATACTACACAAATAAGTGGGATCATGTGATATTTGTCTTTCTCTGCTTGGCTTGTTTCACTTAGCATAATACTCTCCAGTTCCTTCCATGCCATCTCAAAGGATGAGATCTTTCTTACAGCTGCACAGTATTCCATTGTGTACATGTACCACAGCTTTTTAATCCACTCATTTTACTGATGGACACTTGGGTTGTTTCCAGATATTAGCTATTGTACATAGTGCTGCTATGAACATAGGGTACATATATTCTTTCTGATTAGTGTTTCAGGTTTCTTAGGGTACATTCCTGGAAGTGGAATCACTGGGTGTTACAGATTGTACAATTTGTATGCATAAAATATTAAAATTAAACATTAAATAGCTAACTTAGTATTCTGTGGTACAGGTATTTAATACCCCAGAGCAGCACTAATGATAGTGAAATTTCTAAGCATATTAGCAACTGGACAGGCCAGTAAGATATAATTGGGTAGTATATGGAGCCACAGCTATTGCTTAAGTAAAAGTTTTTGGCATTCCATGTTCTCCCCTCCCCCACTCCACAGTTCCCTGTACCACCAGGCTGTCCTGAGACAGTTAAATGGTAAACGTTTTATCTGTTTGAGAAATAGCCTTCACCTGAATTGTTATATTCAGACTGACTTCAGATGTTAGCAAATAGTTTTCTTGAAATGACCCTTAGGAGCAATTGCATTTTAAAAAAAATTTATGATTAGTGTGGTTGATATATTTATATTTTTAGCTTTTTTAAATTTATTAATTCATTTATTTTTGTTGCAGACATTTCTCCTTTTTTCCACCCAGACACTCTCCTCCTTATTCCCCCTCTCCCCCCACCACCCAGTGTTGTCTGTGTCCATTGCTTACACATACATACATATAAGTTCTTTGGTTTATCTCATCCCTCCCCTCTGCCCTGCTCCTCTGAAATTTGTCAGTCTGAACTGTACTCCTTTCTATGTCTCTGGGTCTATTTTGTTCATCAGCTTTTTCTGTTCATTATATTCCACAAATAAGTGAGATCATATGGTATTTGTCTTTCTCTGATTGGCTTATTTTACTTAGCATAATACCCTCCAGGTCCCTCCATGACGTCTCAAAGGATAAGAGATCTTTCTTTTTTATAGTTGCATAGTGTTCATTGTGTATATGTACCACAGCTTTTTTATCCACTCATCTATTGATGGACTTGGGCTGTTTCCAGATCTTAGCAATTGTAAATAGTGCTGCTATGAACATAGGGCTTACATATATTCTTTCTTATTGGTGTTGCAGGCTTCTTAGGATATATTCCTAGAAGTGGGATCATTGGGTCAAATGGCAGTTCAATTTTTATTTTTTGAGGAAACACCGTATTGATTTCTGTAGTGGCTGCACCAGTCTGCATTCCCACCAGCAGTGTACTAGAGGTCCCCTTTCCTCCACACCCTTGCCAGCACTCGATATTTGATGATTTGTTGATGGCAGCCATTCTGACAGGTGTGAAGTGATACCTCATAGTCATTTTAATGGTTGATATATTTAAATAGTGCTAGTCTTTTGGTTTAATCTTTGATTACTTCTGAATTGTATGACAGTATGTCAGAAAAAAGATGACATAATCTTGACATCTTGTCAAAAGTTCTAACCTGTATTGTGCTTATAAGAGTAGTCCCTTCTGGTTGCCAAAAAGCAATACTAGTAAGATGTTATTTTGGAATATTTTGGCTTGGATGAGGAGAGGATCACAATAAAGTGTGTTGTGTTTAATACTTGATTTGTGAAGAAAAATTCTGCAGACTCTTCCAGCTTCCTAAAAGTGTGCTGGTTGATCTTAAAAACACTCATTGTAATAAGGAAATACTAGGGAAGATGGAACACAGTATGATGGGCTATTAGAAACAGTTATCTTGACTGCCTTTAGTCTTTGCTGTGATGATTTGGTCAGGTTTCTGTTCCTGCTACCCCATTGACTCTTTATCAGGGTTTTATTTATTTTTATTTTATTTTATTTTTTGCTGATGTATTGTTCACCAAAAATGTAGATCCAGAACTTTATCAGGGTTTTAAAGCATTCATGTTTAATTTTGTATGCACAGGTACATTTATCTATTTTTAATGGGACCTTTAACTTAGAATATTAGGAGTTAAGTCAAAAGGTTGTACTTTCTAATAGACTAATCTTAATTTTATGTTTTTGTGTAATTATGTTCTGTCCTTGTTGCTTTTCATTCTTCAGACCCTGTCCTTTGATTATCAGTGCCATTTATCTTTTTGGTTATTAGGCATGTTTCATATAGTGGTCCATAGATAGCTTCCTAAAATCTTTCTAGCTTGAGTATTCCCTGTCCTTGTTAATGCTTGGAAAGTCATCCTTGTTTGTTTTTTTCTTCTGTGTTTAGGGGGAATTCTAGACCTCATTGTTCTTAATTGTTGCAGTATCCTTTTAATCTTATTTTCTCATTCTTAATGCATTGCTGAGTTTTCCGCTATACATTTAAACATATTATTCCCTTCATTAACCCTTAAAGCTGAATTTTATAGGTCTTCATTATGTTCTAGTGACAAAGTAATTGTTAAGATATGTGAGTTTTCCTCATTATTTCCTTATATGCTTATCTGGGAAATCTTTCTATCTCATGTACATAGAGGACCCTGAAATGAAAAAACAAAGCAAAACACGCTTATGTTCATGCTGAAAAGTGAACATCTCAGAATAGACTTATGCTTGTAAGTATAGTTTGAAAATTTGAATAATTTAAAATCTCTGAGTCACCATTGCCAGGAAGTCCAAACATCTCTGTTCTCAACTACTTTCTCCTCTCTCTTGTACTATAGTCAAGCAAAACCACTTACCCAGTTCTAGAATATCAAATGCTGTTGTCTCTTTGTATGTGTTTCCATAGCTAAAACTGTCCTCTGTCCACTCCTATCTTTTTTTCTTTTTGGTAAACCTCTTAGTCTTTTAAAATTTCAGTTCTTTATTGTGTGAAGCCTTCCTTGAACCTACTTCTGTTGTAGCTGTTTTACAATGAATTGTGATTATTTACATAAGTGGTTTGCCTGCTGTAATGTAAGGTCTTAGAAGGCAGAGACTACATTTCAGTTTTTATTGTGTCAGGGCCTGGCATATAAATAAAGGTGCTCTGTAAAGTTAAATTAGTGTCCAATATGGCATTTGCCATATCTAGTACATGTCAGAAACATATTAATGGCCTCCAGAGAATTAATTGGTATCAGTTAAAAGTTAATATTTTTACTATTCTAGAGTTCCTAAAATGTTTGCATTGAAGTTACTTTTGTACTATTTATGAAGGAAGGAAATAATTTATTCAGACCTTCAGGACCCTAGTTATTTAGTTATAAACTTAAAAAAAAATATGTACATAATTGGTATCCTAATTCTAACACCTTACCAATCCCTTAAATGGCTTTGATTTTGATTGATAGGTTAGTTTAGTTGCTTTATTATAATCCTGTAAAATAGTGTGTGTAATTTGAATAATGAAATGACATTTAAAATTCTACAGCCTTTTAAAATTAATTTTGATTGCTTTTCTACATCATTGTTTTTCACATTCCCTTAAATCCATGCCCCACTAGTTAATTAGATTCAAGTTTTTTTTTTCTATAGTATTTTAGGTAGAATAATTAATTGGGTTTTGGGATTTAGTTTTTTGAGGGTTCTGTTTACAACTATTTGAGTAGTCGGTCCAGTTCTTCAAACTTACTAAAATTAAAAATTTCTTTAGAAATTCTTTGTATGTGGTTCTCCATATTCGTTATCCTTGCGATTCACTGCTTGAATTATTTTTAATTAGTGATTCATTGTGTTGATTTTATATCTAAAATTTGACTGAGATGTTAATTGCAGATTATTTTGTATCAGAGAAAAAGGAATGTAAAAATAACATGTCATGCTTTCTACCTCTTGTACTTGTGCATTTTGATAGTAAAACTGACTTTTAAAAGTAAATTCATTGAATGAATATAAACTTACAATCCAGCAGTGGCTCAATTGAAGCCTTCTGGTGTTGAATCCACATCTTGATGAAAATTCAAGAGCCAAAGTTACAGATCATTCTTAATTTCTATTTATTTATTTTTTTCTTTCTTTTAGAGAGAGAGGAAGGGAGAGAGAAAAACATCACTTATTTATGCATTCATTGGTTGATTCTTGTATGTGCCCTGACTGTGGATGGGCCCGTAACCAAATGAGCTACCCAGTCAGGGCTTAATTTCTCTTTAATCCTATTTTGGTTTTGATCTGGAACAATGTTAGCTAACTCTCCTTCTACCTTATTTACCAGTATTTTCATTGAATTATTCATTAGTTTTAACAGTTAAACCCATCTTCCATTAAAAAATTAGCTTAAGCTATTTGAGTGAATATATTATAGGCTCTGAAATGGTTTCTCAAAGAGAATAAATGTTTTTGATAATTGACATCGTGGAGACTTCTTAAGGTAAATGCTTTGAAGGTTCCTATTGAATTTTTTTTTGTATGAGCATTCTTTTTTTTTTTTTTTTTTAATTATTACACTGTCACCTTTCCAAATTTTCTCAGTGTTTGTGCTTTAGGATATGTGTGGTTTTTAAAAAGCTATCTTCTGGCTTTAAAAAAGCACTAACTTATTTATTTATTTATTTATTTTGGTACATGCCCCTAATGGCAACCAAACCCGGGACTCTGGTTCGCAGGCTGATGCTCCAACCACTGAGCCAAACCGGCCAGGACACTACTTATCTTTGTAGAAGTTGGAATGACATATCATGTTATGGATTTTCCTCTATCTAGGCTCAGAATTGATTAAATCAGGTGGAGAAATGCAGGTTTATTAGTCAGAATAATACTTAAATTTTGGTTTGTTAGCCCTGTCTCCTTTATGTGTATGTTATATGCCTTGAGTCAGCTCTGACTTTTGGTGACCCTGTGAATGTTGTCCACAATGTCTTGTCCTCACAAGCCCTACTCAGGCCCTGTGGACTCATGCAGATAACTTTTATGGAGTGAATCCATCCCATATTTGGTCTTTCACTTTTCCTAGTGCCTTTTTTTCCCCCTAGCATTGTTGTCTTTTCCAAAGAAGCCTGCCTTCTCATGATGTGCCTAGAGTAAGGACAGCTTCAGTTTTGTTGTATTTGCTTCCAGTGATATTTCAGGTTTAATTTGCTGTAGGACCTACTTGTTCGTCTTTCTGGCAGTCCAGGCTATCTGTAGAGCTCTCTAGCGACATATTTGAAATCCTTTTTCTTTTCTGTCAGCTGCCTTCACTGTCTTTTGCTTCTGTACATAGTAATTGGAAATTCAAGGGTGTAGGTGATCTTACCCTTCCTTGGTTTCTAATAACACATCTTTGCTGTTATTGATCTTTCCTAATTCTTCCATTGCTGCCCTTCCTAGTCTCAGCCTTGTCTTCATTTCTTGGCTGCAGTCTCCATTGGAATTGATGACTGAACCAAGGTAAGCAAAATCTTTTTGTAACATGTTTTATTTCTTCATTGTCTATGCTAAAGTTATGGACTTCTTCTGTAGTCATGATTTTTGTCTTCTTGATGTTCAAATGCAGTCCTGTTTGGCACTTTATTTTCAGTTTTATCATAAGTAATTTCAGATCATTGCTACTTTCCACCAGTAAGATGGTATAATCGCATATCTTAAGTTTTTACTTCTCCTTCCTCTCAGTCTAGCCTAGTTTTTCCTATGATATGTTCTGTGTACAGGTTAAACAGATAGAGGATAAAATGCACCCTTGTCTGACACCTTTGTTTATAGGAAACCATTCTGTCTCTCCATATTCTGTGACAGTGATTTCCTGTCCACAGTACAGGTTACACATCAGGAAAATCAAGTGCTGAGGTATAACCATTTCTTTCAGAGCAACTCACAGCTTTTCATGATCCACTCAAAGGTTTTACTGTAGTCTATATAATGTAGTCTAACTTTGTGAAATTCTTTGAAGCACTCCAGAATCTTTTTGTAATCTTTTCAATATCATTTAGATTGGTACCAGTGGAGAAAGGCAGAGAAGCATATGGAGAGCTTCTGATTTGTTTAGTGCAGTGTTGTTTAAAAGCCCCTTATTGGCTGACCTCTGGATTTTTGTTTGTTTATCCTTATCCAAGGATATTTTTCCATTGGTTCTTAGATAGAGGAGAACAGAGGGGAGGGAGAGAGAGAAACATTGATTGGTTGCCTCCTGCATGACCCAGACTGGGGCCAGGGATCGAATCCAAAACCCATGTATGTGCCCTTGATCAGAATTGAACCCACCACCCTTCTGTCTGCAGGCCAGTGCTCTAACCACTGAGCAAAAATAGCCAGGGCGACCTCTGAGTTTTTAATATACATATCAAAGCATCATATTACAGACCTACTACCAGTTAAAATTTAAAACCTAAAAAAGGTCAAATCATGGAGCCAGAACTCTGCACATTGATTGTATTCTGATTATAAGAAAGTTTCTGTTTGGGTTTGGAGATATATATCTGGACTTGGATTTCCTGGAAAGCTTTCAGTTGAAAAACAGGAATAAAGATTTTTTTTTTTTTTTATCCTCACCCGAGGAAATTTTTTTTTTTTCCATTTTTTGTTCAGGTAGAGTGGGAGGGAGAGAGAGGAACAGAGAGAGGGAGAGAAACATCGATGTGAAAGAAACACATCGAGTGGCTGCCACCTGCACAAGTGACCAGGGCCGGGGACAAACTGCAACCGAGGTACGCGCCCTTAGCGGGAACCGAACCCTGGTCTCTCAGGACCGCAGGCTGACGCTCTAACCGCTGAGCCAAACCGGCCAGGGCAGGAATAAAGATTTTAATGGCTGACCAATTGCCACCAACTTTGATTTTCTTGGCTACTGTGTGTAGCTGGGCTTTGAAGTCTGAGTTCATCTCCAGCTCCAGTAGAGCCTAGGAGATACCAGACTCAAAGTTCCTCCAGCTTTTTGCTATTGGACTTCACGATCTTGGTGCTAAAACTGAACATGGTCTTCTCCTTGGTGAGCACTGGCCTGGAAAGAGATGGTGTAAATGTTAATACCTAAATTTGGCAATTTATTTTTGAGAAAATGGAGTTGTCGAAATGCACATATCTAGTATGAGTAAATAAATATTTGTGAACGGGTAGGTTTTTAAAGTGATGGAATGAGTACTGAGGTTTGACTGAAATGTGCTGATTGTCCACTTACCAGTTGTATAAGTTTAGATTCTCCTTGCATCTTGGTTTTCTTTGCTTAGTTTTTTTACTGTCTTAATGCCATTATCTTCCCTTGTCCCCACTATCCACTTATTAGTCTCTTAGATCTTGCCTCTGAAATAGCTCTTCAATCTATTCATTTATTGTAACTCAGACCATTACCCTCTTTTGGCTGAATTAAACCATTGGCATACTGTCCCTTCCTTCCCCCCAGTTTTTTCCTCACACCAGAATCACTGTTTAAGAAAAGCTCATTTGCTCATTCTTTGTATAAAACTCCTTCTGTCTTTCAACTGCCCTTAAGATAAAGTAGAAATATTTCTTTTCCTTTTTTTTGAATCTGCTAAACTTTATTGGCTTATAATGTGATGACAGAAATACCAGCTCTAAAGCTGAGGCAGTGATATAGTGGAAGCCCATTGGCCCTGTTAATCACTAGTTCTGTGGGTTCCATCATACTCTCATTGCTAAAATTGTGCCTCAAATACCTACCCCATTAACTTTATAGAGTTCCCATGTAATATGTGAAAGCACGTTGTAAACCATGGAGAGCCAGCTAAACGCATGAAATCATTCTATGACGTTATCCAATTTCTGGGTCAGATCTTGTGAGATTACTAATGCTTACACTGTCTTTACCATTGACACAAATGAGTTCTTGTGAAGTTTCAGTATGACCCCTTTAACCTACTGGCTGTATAAAGCACCGTGCATCCTGAGTATGATGAGTTTAATCAAGGGAAATTTCCAAATAGTGCATTTCATTTCATGCCACCTGAGCCCCTACCCAAATATCTCCCCAGGGCGTTTTCTATCCTCTGATATCATCACATCTCAAGTGGGGTGTTACTGACATGTCTATGGCCACCCTACCAGCCTGATTGCTTTTTGTTAGGAGGGTCTCAGAAGATATGAGTATGGGAAGAATAAAGTGAAACAGCCCAAGAATATGAGAATAGGAATATGGATACTTTTAGTATTCCAGGTAAGATTTCCATGAGAACAAGACCTCATTTTTTCACCCAGGAATTCAAAGATTAGACAAAGACCTTTGAGAAGCTCCTGTCCTTTAGCCATCCATATTCATTTTAAATGGATTAGTAGTGTTTTTGCCAAGCCAATGCCAGGGGTAACCAAATGGTTTTGGCCCTTCCTCTAGTCTCTCTTAGATGTAGCATGATAGATGAAAATTCACCTGCAGAGGAGTTCTTTTTGTTGCGTTGAATTGTGTGCCCAAACTTGTAGGCATTGAAAATCTACCTCCTGCAGCCCACCCACCAGATATCTGATGTGCCGAAGAGGGTGAAGAGACCAAATCAAGACTGTAGGAGATGAATTGGGGATTTGCTAGCAGTAAGATCCCCCCCAGTATGTATTATTCTTTAGAACTTGATGTTCGATATTGAAGATCAAATCTATTGTATCTCCAGCATGCAACTCATAAGTCCCTCCTACATTTTGGGTTTTAGTATTGTTTGTATGATGCCTTCATTTTTACATAGCTGCACCTCAAAAGGAGTTGCTTCCTGGTAGGTTGTATTGGGAGCCACTTGGCCATAAATTGAGTACAAGCCATCCTGAAGTATCTTCAGCTTCCAGTCAGCTACCTGACTCACACAACGAGGCTCAAGAGATGCTATTTTTCATTTTGAAGATAATGGTCCAAACTTGGTTACACAGTGCTCACTGATAGTCTTGAGTGACAGAAGAGTGAAGGCAACTGTGCTGAAGGAAACAGGCAAATAGCACACTAACTAACATTGAGAAGATCCATGGCTTCCAGCATGATCCCTGTGTCTCTGAAAGGCTTGCATGGTATAAAGGTGTAATCTCCATGATCTCAAACTCATTCTTTAGAAAGTATTGCGGTGCTATTTCTGGTCCAAGATGGTGACATAGGAGGCTCCTGAATTCACCTCCTCCCATAAGCACTTTAACAGTTCCACACAAAGAAACAATTCCCTCAAAAAGAAATCCAGAAACTGGCTGAGCAACTTGTACTCATTGGGTGGGTAGAACCAAAGACATAATGTCCTCTGCCAGCATGTCTGTCTTGGAGAAAGCTGTCCCTCCAGATCTCACCAGTGCCAAACAACTCAGTTCTTCCCCATATGTCTCTGGTGCCTTTCAAGCTGCCTCCCCTGCTCTGGATCCTGGAGGTAGCTAGTCCTAGTAAGTCTATGTGCTGGCCTTTTAAAAGGAGCTGCCTGGGACTCCAGCAGCCTCAGCTTCCCACTGCTTTTTACAGCCAAAAGTTATGGGGACTTCCCTTCCTGGCACTGAAACCCTGAGCTGGGGGCCAAGTGTGGGATGATGACCCCTGACTCCTCAGGGAGGAACTTCACAGCTGAGGTATCCGCCACATGTGGGTGTGGGACCAGCCTGTCCGCGCCTCCACCCCTCCTAACCTCCTACCATTCTCGATGTGGCTTCTTTAATTCCATAGTTGTAGGATTTCCATTCAGCTGGATGTTAGGGGCTTCTGAATGATGGTTCCGTAGTTTAGTTATAATTTTGATGTGGTTGTGGGAAGAGGCCAGTACCACATTTCCCTTTGCTGCCATCTTGACCGGAAGTCAAAGTAGAAATATTTCGATTAACAGGTTGCTCCATCTCTGTATTTTGTATGACTCAGGTCTTTGAAGATAATAAGAGTTCTATCACACATAGGAACTTCCACATATGCTGTTTCCTTTTAGAATACTATGTCCTCCAGCACCTTTTACCTAGTTAATTCTTATTTTTTCAGGCTTCAAATTAGAAGTTACTTCTTCTAACCTCCCAGTCCCTAGTGTAGGTTTTTTAGCACATCTATATTGCATAAATCCTTTATGGTGAGTATCTTGTAGTGTCCAAAACTGAGCTGCTCATTTTCTATCAAACTTGCTTTTTTCCACAGTCCTTTGCATTTTGTTAAATAGAATTTGCAGCCTCCCATTCGCTCTGACTAATACTCTCAAGTCTCCTAACTGGTCTTTCTGCTTTCCCACTTTCACTCTTTAGTTTATTCTCAATGTAGCAATCATATCAAGTCACTCCTTTGCTTCATAAGTCTTTACAAAGGCCCATGGGGCCCTGTGTGGTTTTTTATTCCCTCCTTTGTTATCTGTGACCTTAAGCCTCTGATGCTTTAGCCACACTGAACTCTTTGTAGTTCCTTGAGCATTTTAGGCACATTCTTGCCTCGCAGTCTGTTTTTGCTCTTCCTTTTCACTGGATATTTCAGATATTTTCTATCATTTAGGTAGTTTGAAAATTACATGTAAAATGGGTGATTAAGAATAATTACTAGTAAGTAATAACATTGAATGAATTAAAATGATATAAGCAGAAGGATTACAATGATTTCCATGGCACTGTGGTTCTCAGAGCAGTAACAGATTGTTTAAATGCTTGGTTTCTCATAAATATTTTCTACTGCCAGAGGACTAAATATCTAATCTTAAAGACTAAAACCAGTGCAGTTATTTAGGGTTTGTAAAGGGCTGTTATTTATTTTATTTTATTTTTTTCACAAAAAATGAAAATATACTTTGAAATACACTACCACTAAGCTTTTTATTATTAATATATTTATTTTTAATTAGTTTACATTCAGTACTTTCTGATTAGTTTTAAATGTACAGTAAAGTGGTTAGAAAATAAGTACTTTACAGAGTGGTTCCCCCACTGCTTCAGGTACCCACCTGACCCCATACATATTTATCAAGATCTTATTCACTGTCTTCCCTATACTGTGATCTGCATCTCTGTGTTTACCAATTTCTATGGCTTAATCCCTTCACCTTTTTCACCCAGCCCTTCTACCCCTCTCCCCTCTGACAACTATCAGTCTGTTGTCTGTGTATACGAGTCTGTTTATACTTTATTTTGTTCATTAGATTCCACATATAAGTGAAATCATATGATATTTGTCTTTCTCTGTCTGACTTGTTTCACCTAGCATAAGTGAAACAGGCCCATCCATGCTGTCACAAAAGATTTCATTCTTTTTACAGCCAAGTAGTGCTGCTTTTGTGTATGTGTACCACAGCTTTTTATCTACGTGTCTATTGATGGGCACTTAGGCTGTTTTGTATTACCAGTAATATTAAGTTTTGTAAATTTTTCAGTGTTCTTCAGAACATGCTTCAGTATATTTCAGGGAAATCTGTGTTTGTTATATTTTAGAGAAACATTCTGGCTTTTTTTCCCCCATGGTTAGAAACATGTACCATTGTTTCTCAAACTATGGTTCATGGACCACTTGTCCCAGAATCATTGAGGTCTTTAGAAATACCACTCAGTCCCACTTGAGACCAACTGAATGAGAACTTCACATTTAACATTATGCCAACTTGTGTTGATGCACATAAAACTTTGATAAATACTGCTTTGTGCTAAATGAATGGTAGAGTTGGAGTAGAGGAACCAAGAATCCCATGGCATGATTCGTGGCAGAAAGTCTGGGATAAATTTCAATTTTTAAAACCTTAAAAATTTTTATTTATATATATTTAAAACTTTTAAAAGACTATAACTTGCCCTGGCCTGTGTGGCTCAGTTGATTGGAGCATTGTCCCATACACCAAAATGTGGCAGGTTCAATTTCCAGTCAGGGCACATACCCAGATTCTGGGTTTTATTTCCCGGATTGAGTACAGGAGGCAACTGATAGATGTTTCTTTCATACATCGATGTTTCTTTCTCCCCCTTCTCCTCCTCCCCCTCCCCATTCCTCTAAAATCAATTTTTTAAAAAGATTGTAACTTAAAATGTTTATGCTAACATAACCTGGATCCTTTAAATCTGCAGAAGTATCCTTTATCCTGGAAGCAAATAATACATAATTTGGGTTTAAGTAGGATTCATCTGGAGTTGTCAGTACTCAAGCACCTTCTAATTTTAAGTGACATTTTGTCTCTTAGTAATTACACTACAGAATATTGGGAATATTCTTTGGATCAAACCATGAAAACAATATCCTAAAGATTTTTACAAACTCCTGCTTTCTAAGGAAATGTTTCTTTTATCTAGTGCTTTGGTTACATCAAAAAATTTAGGTACTTGTTACAATAATTGTTAACTGTTTTATATTAGCACTCAGTTTTTAGCTTGGATGTGATGTGAATGGGTTATTTTGGGTTGAGGAAGGCTATTTTTCTTTTCTACTAGTGAGAACTTTGCCATTTTAATGTATAATGTATAATGGTTTTAAGAGAGATTGTCCTAAATATTTGGGACTGGAACTTTTTCAATATTTTGGTTATACTTCTGAAAGGCTGTATAAGTCAAAATTATTTAACATGAAACAGTCTTTTTCTAAATAAAACTGGGGTTTAAAAATTAACTTGAGTACCCTTATAATGGACTAATAAACCATCAAGCATAATTTAATGGATTTTCTTTTTTAAATTAAATTTATTGGGGCGACATTGGATAATGAGATTATGTAGGTTTCAAATGTGCGCTTCCATGAAACTTGATCTGTAGATTGTGTTGTGTGCCCACCATCCAAAGTCAAATCATCTCCATCACCATATATTTGGCCCCATTACCCTTTACTATCCCTCCCACCCTTAACCCTCTGGTAACCAGTGTACTGTTAGCTGTGTCTGTGAGTTTCATTTTTATATCCCACATATAAATGAAATCATGGTTGTCACAAAATGGCTGTATTTTATCTTTTTTTATAGCTGAATAGTATTCCATTGCATGTATGTATCATGTCTTCTTTATCCAATTATCTGTCAAAGGACACTGGTTGTATCCATGTCTTGGCCACTGAATAATGCTACAGTTAACATAGAAGTACATATATCTCTGAGAATAAATGTTTTCAAATTTTTCAGGTAGATACCCAGAGGAGGAATTGATGGGTCATATAGTAACTCTGTTCTTACGTTTTTTGAGGAACCTCCATACTGTTTTCTATAGTGGCTGTACCAGTCTGCATTCTCACCAGCAGTGAATGAGGGTTCCCTTTTTTACTCCACAACCTCTCAACACTTGTCATTAGTTGTCTTGTTGATGATGGCCATTAACAGGCGGAAGGTTGTATCTCATTGTAGTTTTGATTTGCATTTCCCTAATTGGTGAAGTTGAGGAAAAGTTTATATATCTGTTGGCCATTTGTATGTCTTGGAGGAAGTGTCTGTTCAGGTTCTCTGCCCATTTTCTAATTGGGTTTGTTTGGTGTTGAGTTGTATGAGTTCTTTATATTTTGGATATTAATTCCTTGTTGGAACTGTTGTTTTCACATAAGTTCTCCCATTCAGTTGGTTGCTTTTTTGTTTTGCTGTCATTTTCTTTTGTTGTGCAGAGACTTTTTAGTTTGATGTAGTCCCATTCATTTATTTTTGACTTTATTCCCTTGCCTTTGGGGTCAAATCCATAAAATGTTCTGTACGACCAAGGTCCCTAAGTGTAGTATCTGTTTTCTTCTATGAAATTTGTTTTGTTTCAGGTCTTATATTTAGGTCTTTGATACATTTTGAATTACTTTTTTGTACATGGGGACAAACTAATCTAATTTTATTCTTTTGCAACTGGCTTTCTAATTTTCCCAGTACCATTTTAATTGAAAAGGCTTTATTTTTTTCATTGTATGTTTTTGGCTCCTTTGTAAAAAATTATTTGCCCATATACATGTGGTTTTATTTCTGGGCTCTCCCTTCTTTTCCATTGGTCTATTTCTCTGCAGCATCATGCTATTTTGATTATCTTAGTTCTGTAGTATAATTTGAAGTCAAGTAACGTGATACCTTTGGCTTTGTTCTTTCTTTCTTGGGATTGCTTTGGCTATGCAGGATCTTTTGTGGTTTTATACAAATCTGATGATGTATTCTATTTCTTTAAAAAATGGCATTGAGATTTTGATGGGGATTGCATGAGGTCTGTATATTGCTTTGGGAAATATGGCCATTTTAACTGTATTGACTCAGTCTATGAACATGAAATATCTTTCCATTTTGTTGTGTCTTTTTCAAACTCTTTTAATAATGCTTTGTAGTTTTCAGTATATAGGTCTTTCATGTCCTTTTTTAAGTTTATTTCTAGGTATTCTTTTGGTTGCAATTGCAAATGAAACTGTTTTTTTCTTTTCTTACTTTGAAATTTTACTATCTAGTGTATGGGAATGCAGTAGATTTTCATACATTGATTTTTGTATCCTGAAACTTTACTGTATTTCTTTATTGTTTCTAACAGGTTTTTGGTGGAGTCTGCAAACAGTGACGCATTTATTTTTTATTTTTTTTAAATTCTCATTAGAGGATGTTTTTCCATTGATGTTTTTAGATGGGCGGAGGGAGAGAGAGAGAGAGCAAGTGGTGTGAGAGTGACACATTGATTGGTTGTCTCCCACTTGACCAGAGCCTGGGATCAGACCACAGCCGAGATATGTGCCCTTGACTGGAACTGAACCCATGACTCTTTGGTCTGTAGGCCACTGCTCTAATCACTGAGCAAGCAAGACAGGCCAGGACCACTTTTATTTTTTCATTCCTAATTGGGATGCCTTTTATCTTCTCTTGCCTTATTGCTTGGGCTAGGACTTCCAGTACTATGTTAAATAATAAGAGTGGTGAGAGTGGGCATCCTTATCTTGTTCTATATTTTGGAGGAAAAGCTTTCAGGTTTTCACTATTGAAATATTAGCCAAGGGTTAGTCACATATGGACCTTCATTAAGTTGAGGTACTTTCCTTCTATAGGTATTTTATTGATTGTTTTAATCATAAATGGATGTTGTATCTTTTTATTGTTGGTTCTTACTGGAGGATGTTTTTACATTGATTTTTAGATAAGGGAAGGGGGGAATGGGAGGAGTGGGGGTGAGAGGGCTATAGAGGGAAAGAGAAACATTTATTTGAGAGAGACCTGTCTATTGGTTGTCTCCTGCACATGCCCCAGTAGGGGCTGTGGATGGAACCTGCAACCCACATATGTGCTCTTTACCAGGAATCCAACCTGAGACCCTTTGGTGTGCATGCCAATACTTCACCACTAAGCAACACTGGCCAGGGCTGGATGTTATATCTTATGAAATGCTTTTTCTGCATCTATTGATAAGATCATATAATTTTTATCCTTTGTTTTGTCAATATGGTGTATTACGGTGACCAATTTGCAAGTTTTGAATCATTCTTGTGATCTTGAAGTGAACCCCACTTGATCGTGATACATTAATTTTTTTTTTTTAGTGTTTTGTTGTATTTGATTTGCTAGTATTTTGTTTAGGATTATCGTATTTGTATTCATCAGCGATATGGTCTGTAGTGTGTGTGTGTGTGTGTGTGTGTGTGTGTGTGTGTGTTTTATCCTTGCCACGTTTTGGTATCAGGATTATGTTGGCCTCATACAGTGTGTTTGGAAGTATTGCCTCTTCTAGAAAGAGTTTGAAAAGGATAGGTATCAAATATTTTTAGAATGTTTGGTAGAATTCATTCTAATGAAGCCATCTGGTCCTGAACTTTTTTTTTTTAGGAGGTTTTTAATGGTTTCAATTTTCTCACTGTTGATTGGTCTATTTAGATTTTCTAATTCTTCATAATT